TCTATCTATTGATTATTTCATCCTGTCGTGCAATTTATCCAGGCTTCAGAGCACTAAAGGGAGGAACAAAGGGAGTCTGGGAGCCGTGGGGCTCTTTGACCTGAAGTGCACCCACCCCAACAGCAGTGACTTTGCTTGGCAAAACCCCCCAAGTCCTTTCAAAAAGAGTTACACCTTCAGCACAGTTTTTATCAAGTGTTTTGAGCAATGGTAGCCCCAATCTAAATGGGCAAGAGGGCAGGTACAGGTGGCCACTGTGGGCCACTCAAAATAGATGTGTCCTTCAGCCGTGGCAAGGAGGGACCACAGGTCCTGTAACATCACATCTCCATCCCCCAAAAAAAGCCCTGTGCCAAACACAGGCTGGCATCACAGAGTGTGTGCTCTGCTTTCTTACAGACCATCTCTGTTCCTCCTGAGCATGTTCCTCATGTCCCACCATGACTCTTGGGTTATGGGCTGATGCTGAAAGCTCAGGCCCACCTTCCATTTCCTCTCCCTTCTTCCATCCTCTCCACCTCAAAAGCCTTTTTCACCTCCAAGCTGAGACAGTTTTCCCTCCTACAACCCTTTATCCCTCCCAGCTGAGCTTCGTGGGTCTCCTCAGCACAAAATAAGCCAGGGGAGCAGGAGCTGATCCATCAGACAGCCCCGGGCAGGACTTGGGAGGTGAAGATCAGAGCCGTGACTCACCAGCTTCTTCTGCAAAGTCACAGCAACGAAGCTCTGTCACCAGAGAGGTTCACATGGAAACACGGCGTGAGGCCATGAATGCACAAGCAGGGCTCCAGCTCAGGATCCATCCCGAGGAGGTTCTCCCTGCTGAAGGAAGGAGAAATGGCTCATGCATAAATACCCACAAAAATAGCTGAGGGAAAGCACAGGGAAATGAGCTGGGGAAGCAAACTGGGGGGGGTTTCTGGCGGCGTTGGCTCTGCTGCCAGTCAGAGTCCCTTTTCTGAGCAGGCAGCAAAGGCTGGACCAGCACCAGTTGCTCCTGGAGGTCCCTCTCATTCACACGAGGAGGCTGTAGCTGCAGAGAGCACCCACCTGCCCCACAAAGCATTGCAGGGGGAGAGGCATCCTGCTCAGCAGCGTGCCCAGGAAGAGATCAGGGCCCAGTCACGGCTCTCTGAGGAGTTAATAAACCTTTGAGGGGGAGGGATTGAAAGAAAAATAATTATTTATAGCCTAGCTCCTTGTGGAAGCACCTTGGAAAAATAGACGTGGCAATGACTTGGCATCAGGTGGTGTCTTGTGCTTGCAGAGTGATGGGCACCATGTGGGGCAAATGCAGCTTCTGTCCTTCTGCAGTTGGGGTTTCTTCCACCTGCTAAAATAATCTCAGTGCTGGGGGCCAGGCTCAGGGGGGTGGAGGAGTTTGGAGGGGGTGAAAGGCTCCCAGGGGCAGTGGGCATGAGGAGGGTGATTTCATTCAAATCCCCAAACCAACCCACCAGCCTCAGGCTGACCTGTAGCTGGGTAAAGGACAACTCAGCACCTCCCCAGGGGAGTTCTTCCCATGGCTTTAAAACCATCCAGACTTTAGGGAACGTGTAAATTCAGTACCTTATTTCTGCTTTCAAAATTTGTGAGTCATGTTGGAGGGAGGGGAAAAGTTGTTGGCTGAGCAGCCTGGGCAGGGCAAAGCATCCTTCCAAAGCCAGAGATCTGCCCTGATGTGCCAGTGCCACGGAGCAGCTTGGGGTAGAGCCCAGCCCCCCCAGCTCACCCACTCCTCAGCCTTCCCAGCAGTTGTCTCCAGCCAGCAGCAGCAGGGAGGACGCTGAGCACTTTAATAAATCCCATAATAGTGAATAAAACACTGTGGTTTATGGCTTTGCTCTAAGAACTCACCCCTGGGTACTTGTAATTAACTGAACTAGAAAAGAAATAAAGATTTCAATTCTTTGGCCACCAATTTTCTTTTTTTTTTCTTAAAAAAAAAAAGGCAAACAAATCACCACTGCTGATAAAACCCCCTCTGCTGGTATTTACCTACCTGGGCAGGAATATTGATCTCTGTGCAGAGAGAAGGCACCTTCCTTACTGCACATCTCCCTGCCTAATCCATCTTTCCTGGCTACAGAATAGTGCCCTGGCTTTATTTCCAGAGCAGCTCTGCCATTCATTGCTCTCCACCATCGTGCCCAACCCCATAACTCCTGGGAGGTGTGGGGAGAGCTTCAGTCCTGCCTCAGACTTCACCTCCAGCACGGTGCCTGTGGCATGACCCAGAGCAGCCAGGGAGGCTGGCAGGGGGCAGGCAGCTCCTCCTCATCTCCAAGCCACCTATTTTAGAGCATCTTCACATCTTCTCTTTCCAGGTTGCCTGTAGACAAAGCTCCCACTGACCTTAATAAAAAGAGATTGGATGCTCCTGTGTTATTGTATGCGCCCAGCAGTGGGTTTAGCTGCAAAAATAACCCCACGTGGATGGATCTTGGCAGTGCTGGGGTGGAAACAACACTTGAGCCATGCAGCTAAGCCCTTCAGACTCCACATCACTCCGAGGAGAGGGGGTTTTATTTGCCTTTATTGAAGCATACAAGCAGCCACCTAGGAAATAGTCATTTACACTCATAAAGTCACACCACCACCACCTCAGAGGGAACTCCAGCCAGCCCCCCACGAGCCTTGAACTCCATAGGCACAGTACAATAAAGCTTTTTGCTTTCAAGGGTTTTTTTTTTGTTGTTCTTCTTAGAACAAACTCCACTGAGCGTTGAACAGAAAACACATTCACTGCAAGGGCCACGGAATTACCCAAAAGCTGAGTAAACACACATTTATTGAATGCTTGATTATGTGAGATCGTTGCAGCATAGTCATTATAACAAAATCCTTATAAAAAAAAATGCCAAACACTGGTTGGGATGTTTTTGGACGTAAATCTACTTAAAAAACCCAACCAAGAACTACAAAGGGAGGGTGGCTGTTCCTTAGCCAACCTAAGGAATGCTTTCCTGCTCCCTAATGCCATGAAAAGCCTGGTTCCCAGCTTCATGCCCAACTCTACCTGGCAGCTGTTGGGCTAAGACTCCAGGTTGCTCACCAAGGTAGCCACGAAGACCAGAGCCCACCAAACTCATTTCTTCAAGGGCATGGATGCAGCTCACCAGCAGCACAGCTCTTGGGGAGTTCTTCTTTGCATGCTTGGGGGTTGTGAGAGATTTCCTGGTGAGTGCCTGGGGACAAACACCCACCACAAAGTGCTTCAAGTGCCCAGATTTCCTCCTCCCCCCCCCCTTCATTGTTCAGGGGAAGTGCTAATTGCAAAGTTTGCTCTGGTATCCCTCCAGATTCCCAATCAAATGCTAATCAGCATGGAAACCTTCCCAGCGTGAGTAGTTTACAAGGGATCTGGGTCCTATACACGGGACACTGGAGCTGCATTGATATTTTCAGCCCAACCATAGGGGAAACACTCTACATAGAAATATAACATTGGATTCTTTTATACAGCCTATATAAAGAACATGACAGCTTTAAAATATTGGCAAATCAATACGTTAAAAATACAGAATCTCATCGACCAGTGCACAAGAAATATATTCACATGAAATCTGTACAGTCCAAATGATGCTGCCAGTTCTTGAGTTGGAGCTGACCTCCCATCTCCAAATGGAGATCATTGCTCTGCTTCCCCATCAGCACCAGATTTCCCCAGGCTGTTGTGCTAGGAGGGGAACACCAGTCTGCTGTCCCCACCAGCACAGAGGGCACTCCGTGGTCCAACTCTTCAAGAACATTTTCCTTAGCCAACAAAATGACAGAACATCTCATTTTTCCACAAAGCTCTGGACTACTGGGAGAGGAAAATCAACCTGTGGTTGGCAGGTGGGGTGGTACCTCAGCAGCATTTCCCAAGTGGATCGTGAATCCCATTTCATTTGGAAAAACAACCAACCAACCAACCACGAAATCCCCACCTTTTATATGGTTTTTGTCCCACTGTGGAGCAGGTGGGACTGTTTCAGGCTGCCCCTCCCAGCAGAAAGGTCCACGTCTTCTGGAGGAGCTGTCATTCTGGGTTTGCCAAAATGGCTTTTCCCAATATTTCGAGGCCATGTCATTCCTCCCTCCTCTCACTGAGGAAATCCCCAAGGCATGCTTGGCAAAACGAAACCCCAGGACCTGGCTGTGCCTCTGGCACTGGGGAGTTGTGGACGCACAGACACATTCTGTCCATTATTACAACAGAAATACAGTTAAAACCCAAAAGGAATAGCAGCATGTAGAGAAGGATTTGTGTTCATTCCATCCCTCTGTTCCTCCTCCTTTTCTGAGCTACATTCACCAGCTTTGCCAGTCCCTCCTCACGGCCCTGCTCTCCTCTCAAGGCGCAGGGTTTTTCTGCAGACCCCATCTGCAGGAGCTGGTTTGTCCTCCCCAGGCTCCCAGTTTGAATTCCCCTTTCCACCAGCTCCCTCCTTTCTCTCCCCGCATCCTCCCTTTCACGATGACTCATCCTGGAGATGATCTTGGGTTTTCAGCTGACTGCCCGCTTTGGCTCGAGCAAAAGTCTCATTTCAGAGCGATGCCATGGGAATAAAACCCACACCCGAGCTCCTGGTGAGCCACGTGAGCTGGTAGTGACCTCACCAGCTCAGGGAGGAAGAAAAAGAAGTGCAACAGTTTGCATTTGGTCTGTCTCCCAGCAGCAAAAAGCCTAATTTGCAGGAGCAATGCTTGGTTTCAACCCTTCATCCCTGAATTCTCAGTGGTGTCACAAGCCACCAGGGTTTCAGGAGTCCAAGGGCTGGTTTCAAACACATTCCTTAGTGCAGGATGCACTGGAATGAAAAATGCATCGAATGGGCTCACTTCTTCTGCACGCTCCTGCAGTATCCAGTATTCCCAACCCCCAAAATGGTTTCCTTGGTTTCTCACCTCTCAGTTTTGAGGTCCTGCTAAAGAGCCGTTATCTGAGTCAGCTCTGACGTGGGGGTGGTCGGACTCTGCTGGGTGACAGCCACCATGGGGATTTCCATGCCTAGTCAGGCCGGATTGTTAGTCCCCTCTGAGTTCTTGCAGGCATAGGCCACGTCCTTGGCGATGCTGCACATCCTGTTGGACATCTGGAGCTCGGTCCTGAAGGCGGTGGGGAAGCAGAACTTCTTGAAGCACGCCTTGAAGTTCTCGTCTAAGAAGGCGTAGAGCACAGGGTTGAGGCTGCTGTTGGCGTAGCCCAGCGCCGTGCAGAAGCAGGAGATGGCCAGCTCGAGCTCGCTTTCTGCCTTGGCACCCAAGCACTGGACCAGCACAAAAATCTGGATGGGAGTCCAGCAAATGATGAAGACCGCCACCACCACCAAGACCATCCGGGTGATGCGCCTCAGGTTTCGGTCCTTCTCCTTGGAGCCTGAGAGGACACGGACATTCTTGAGTCGTCTGATCATGAGACTGTAGCAGATGGTGATGATCAACACGGGGATCATGAAGGAGAAGAGAAAGACACAGATGCCAAACACCGGATCCCAGTAATCCACGGGCGAAGGGAGTTTAATGAGACAATCAATTTCTGCAAGCGAACAGATAAAAAGCAAAGGAAGATCAGCAAGTGCATGCCAAGAAGAAAAGCATCTGCACGTTCAGGTTAGTTTAGGCGTGTTCAAACTGGAAAAGCAGAAGCAAAGGCAGGAAGGAAAGAATTAAGACAGCTTTACAGCAGAGAGCTCACCACACCGATGAACCCAGTAACCTTCTCCAAAGGCTCCCCAAGCCCATGGGTTCTCCTGACTACCCCCACCCACTGGGTGCACGATTTACTGACCGTTGTTTTCATTCTCTGCAGATCCCATCACCATCGCCGGGATGCCAAAGACAGAAGCCAGGGCCCAGATGCAGACGTTGACCACTTTGGCCTTGTGGGGCGTGCGGATGTCCAGGGCTTTGATAGGGTGGCAGATGGCGATGTAACGGTCCACGCTCATCATCGTCAGGGTGAAGGTGCTCGTGAACATGTTGTAGTAGTCTATAGAGATGGCAATCTTGCACAGAACGTTGCCAAAGGGCCAGAAGCCCAGGAACGTGTCTGTACCCTGGAAGGGTAAGGTCATCAGACACAAGGTATCAGCCAGAGCCAGGTTAAAGATGTAAATGTTGGTTGCTGTCTTCATCTTGGTGAATCTGAAACAAAGGAATGAGCAATGGTTAGAGCTCCACCTGACTAGGAAGGTAAGATCATAGAATCATAGAATGATTCTAAGATCATCTAAGATGCTGAAGTGTACTGAAGAGGCCATTCCACCACTCTAGGAAGGAGGTGCTGTATGTCATGCTACAAGAGATTGACCACCACCCTTTCCTATCTACCTCCCATGGGCTTATCAACACACAGCTCAACCCAGCTCCTGCAACGGTAGGAATGGTGCCCCCACAATCCACTTCATGGGCAGGAGAAACTTATTCCCTTAGCCTGCAAGTGAGGACCATGAAAGCTGTCAACTCAGACTGTGATTACTGAAGAATTACTTCAGTAAGGCTGATGTAGGATCCCATCATGTATGGCTTCATTGTTATAAATATTGGTGAGAGGTTTACCTGGCAAGCCCATCTGAAAGGCATCACACGGTCCAGGGGTAAGCTGATGAGCTATTTCATTATGGGCCAATAGCCAAAGGCTGTGGCTAATGTGAGCTATCAAACCAGAATGGGCAAGATGACCATGGCCAGTGGCAGCTTAAAAACTGGTGAGGAATGAGGTTCGTACTAGAAGTCAACCTATCACAATGGCTCCTTTTAAAGAAAGGGACAGTTTGGGGATAAAGTAATGAATCAACTCTATTTCAAAGGGGTTTTGTCACATCTATATTACTTCCATTGCACGAACTGACTGCCCCAAACGAAGACTCACCTTGCTCTGATGGCAATCATCTCCTTTTTGCTTGGGAAATGATGCAAAGAAAGATGTGACCTACACGAGGCTACCTGCAGGAATGGAAGCTCAGCAGTGACTCTGACTGAACCTAACATTTCAGCTCCAGGACATTCCTCTCACAGGCAAAATAAGAGGTCAAATAGAAATCATTTTAAAACCACAGCTCATCTACCAGTTACTATACTAAGGGCCTTCACAGAAACGTTGCCAGAAATGGCAGGCAATGATGTGTGCTATTAACTGAGGGCAAGTTCATATGAGGGTAACACAAACCCATGAACTGCTGGGCTATTTTCAGTTTGATGTGTGTCGGGGTCTGATTTGACCTACAAAGCTCTTTTTGTCCACTTGATTCACAACAGCACACCCACAACTGCACTCCCCTCCCCAGTGCTCTGAGCTGCAGCTCTTGATGGATTATTTGAATGCTTGGGGGAACGTTATCACCACCACGTTGTCAACATGAGGCACGTGGTGACATAACCAAGTTTGCAGGAATAACAGCCAGAGGATCCACAATCCAGCCTGTAAAGTCTATTTTATTACCCCTCCTAAAGCTCTAAATTGTGCCTACAAGTCACAATTGTGCTCACAATTCCAAGCCAGATGTCTGAAAGTGGCTTCAGAAAGGAAGAACAAACAACCCTACGTTTGACCTTGAAAGACAGGTGAAAAAAAAACCCACAAAACAGAAATCACAGCAGCCAAGCAAGACAAGGAGCTTTTCAAAAGCCAGCCCAGATCAGCTAAACTTGCATGATCAAAAGCAGTAGAAGAAAAAACACTGTGGTCTATCCTACTGTGAAGGGACAAACAAGCAAAACACTCCAAATCCAACACCACCATGCGACTTCAGGGCTTTAATGCCTTGATTCTGCTTCAGAAGTCCCACACAGGGACAGAGACTCCAGTGCTGTGAGCTCCAGAGCAGCAGCAGCAGCTCAGGGGGGGGTGAGCTGTGTGGGTTTGGTTCTTGCAACATAAACGAGACAACACACAGAGATGGGCTGTGAATGGATTCAGACACTTTCCCCTCTAGGTCAGCAGGAGGGAATTCAAATGAAGAAATGAAATCATTGTTCTTTCTCAGCCCACAGAAAAAGAAGTATTGCCAGCTCAGGAAAGTCATCAGTCACCCAAGACTCTGTTAACCAAGGTCTCCCAGGAGCTGCAGTTTTCCTCTGCATATCACAGACCTGGCTGGGCTTGCTTGACCTTCCCAAGGGGCAACTTTGCTCCAGTGCCTCTTTCCAGGAGGACTAGGCTTGGAGGCAATTCATCAACATGCCTCTGACAGCTTTCACACACATGATAACTTGAGGGAACACCAACTGCAGCTCTGAACAAGGATGAGCAACTTCACACAGAAGAGGAACCAGCCTCAAGTTGCCCCAGGGGAGGTTGAGGTTGGCCCTGAGGAACAATTTCTTTCCCTTGAGGGTTGCCCAGGGCAGTGGTGGAGTCCCCACCCCTGGAGGGGTTTCCAAGCCGTGGAGATGTGGTGTGAGGGACACAGGGCAGTGGGGACCTGGCAGTGCTGGGGAAGGGTTGGACTCCATGATCTTGAAGGTCTCTTCCAACCAAACCAATTCTATCTTTTAAAGATACATGAAAAAATAATCTAAAGGTTGGTTTGGTTGGTTGGTTGGTGGGTTTTCTTTTGTTTGGTTTGGGTATTTTGTGATTGCCCAGGAGAGAAACAAGCAGCAATCCCTCCACCTCTACCACCCATCCAGCATCAGAACAACGTTGCCTCTCTATACACCCAGTCCCAAAAACAGTGAGAAGTTTGGGGCATCTCAGGAACCCCAGGCTTGGGGTGTGCAGGTTGCAAACCTTCAGCACTCTCCCTTCAGTCTCCACCCCAGGAGACCTCAGTGGCCCCTCTCCCCACTCAGCTGCTCCCTCTTTCCTCACCACCTCCTCGAGGTGACAGCAGAGCCACCTCCCCTCGCTCCCTCCAACCCGGGGACAGGCTGGGGCAGCTGGGCCACCACTTCCCTCCTTCAACCCACCTTCAAGTGGGTTTTAAAAGCTGATTTTGTGCTCTTGAAAGGTGTGGAAATTAATTTAGTCCTAATTAATCCCACTTCCTCTGCACACCGAGAGCCAACAGCCATTATCCCCACTGACCCATGTTCCTAAACATTTCCAGAATGTTCAGTACAAACAAAATCAATTAATGACTTCTGGGTAGATTAAACTCTTTTTCTTTTCCTCCAGGAACTGAGAGTGTTCTCTCTCTTAAGCTGCACAAAGAAGACAAATTAAACTCTCAGGCTTTAGGAGGCACCTCAGGTCCCCCCCCACGGCACAGCTCCAACGTGGATAAGCCTCTGGCCTCCACTGAGGACTTGAGCTCCCCACTGAGCCACTTTCTTACACTCAATCACAGAGGCAATTTCCTAATGGAGCATCTCCCACAGGGCACTTCTCAGCTCTCCATCCTGCTCCACCTTGCTCACACAAGTCATCGCTTTGCTCTGTTCTCCTGTTCCCCTGGCTGCTGAAGCCTAAGAGCAAAAAACATCCAGATATCAGCTCTTGCCTTCCCTCTCCTTGCTAAGTGGACCTCAGGCTGCATTACCTGGACAAAGCTGTGCTTCAGCAAGGGGAACCCACAATTTAGGAGAGGAGGAGATGGGTAGGGAACAGATCTTCCACATATTGGGCTTTGAGGTCCTTTTTTTTTCCACAAGGGTGGATTCTTCCCCTGGCTGAGCCTCAGGGTGAGCTGCAAACCTGTTGTCTGGGCATCCCTCCCTGCTTTCCACCCAGCCACTGCAAAGCTGCAGGGCGCTGAGCACCCAGGACCAAGGACCAGCAGGCTGCAGCAAAGCTACAACCCAGAAATGGGGCTGGGAAAAGCAGGGGCAGAGAGACAAAAGCAAAGCCTTCAGCCCTGGGCAATCGTGAGCATCATCTCCAGGAGTTCTCTCCCTCTTGGAGCCTTTTGATTTTGGTATTTGTAGCTGCAGCTCATCAGGATGCAGACAGTGCTGCTCACCTTGAGCAGCTCCCTCCGTTCCCACCCTGTGTGCTGGCATCAGTGACAACCTTTGCTGCCCTCCCCAGACACACGCAAAGGGAAGAAAAGCAGAGCAGAGAAAAGCTCAGGGAGGATTTTTGCCAAGCTGCTCCCACCCTCTGACAGTGGAAACGGGCAGTGGTTCCCCAACATCTCTGCTTCCAACCAGCTCTTAGTTGTATGAAGCTGGTATTTGATGTGGCACGAACCGTGGTGACGTGTCCTCCAGGTCCCTGCTCCTCTGATCGCCTTTGCAGAGCCCCCTCATCCTGAAATTACTAATTCAGGCCAGTTTATGATTCAACAGGCCACAAAATCCCCGAGGGAACTGGAGAAGGACAAATTGAAGTCCCATCAGACTGTGAAGCCTGAGTTGCAGCAGAAGCAGCCAGCAGCATCAGCATCTAAAAGCCTGTGAAGCACCTGGCAGGATGGGGACTGAGTAGCAGGTTGGGGTTAAGGGCTCTGCTGCCAGCCATGATGAGCAGCAGAGCTGCAGGAGAGATGATTTCCCTGCCCCTTGAGCCTCCCTGCCATGCCTGGGTGACACTGGTGCCCTTCCTCCTCAAGGTGCTATCCCTGTGGAAAGGGATGTTGCACAGCCCCAGGGGCTCACAGGGATGCTTGGGCAACCCCAGGGGCATGCGTGGCCACCAGGAGTGGTGCTTTGGTCTAAGGATGGTGTTCACCAGCATCCATCCTGCAGCAGGATGCTCTCGTCCCTGTTCACATACTGGACCTGCCTCTGCTGAACTGCTCGTGTCCTGAACACTGCTGGGACTTGCCCAGTCCCTGAAAGGCACTGGGAACAGAGTCCCACACAAAACATCACAGAATTGCTGGTGCACAGGGGTAACTCCCCTTCAGTCATCCCACCAAAGAGAAACCAAGAGCCCTACAGCACACCTTGGAGCCACAGGATCTGTGTTAGCAGGGGCCAGACATAGCTGCTATGAGCCCTGGGGCTGAGCCCAGCTCATCTGGGTTGGAGGGGGCCTGGAAAGTGGGGAGCTGCAGAGCTGCCCCTCACAGCCACTGTCACAGCAGGTCCCCCTCCTGCTCCCCTCAACATCCTCCCCTGGCTCCAATCCCCCTGCACAGCCCAGAGCCCTTGGCCTCGGTTTCCCTTCCCTACAAATCACTACAATTGTCATTTTTCTCACCAAAAAAACTAGAAGAGGTGGCTCTGGAGAGAGCTGAGGTCTCAGATGGCCCCACCAGTGTCTGCTGGGTGCAGG